TGTAATTTAAAAGAAGTTAAAAGCCTTTTTGTTATGTTGTAAATGAGCTTTGGGTGTGTTTCTAAAGTCCATTTCATATAGAATATTTTTATAATTTGGGCTCCTATATTGAGTATAATAGTGAATCTCCCAAAAAATAGAGGCAAAGAGATGCATATTTTTGTGAGAAATTGCGTGGAAATGTAAAAGAAAGTTGGTTTTGTTTTCTTTTCTGAAAAGCACAACTTGACCAAAATGATTTTAATCAGCTGAGCTGGTCTTCTAGTTGTCGTTACATTATTGTTTGCATGCACAACTTGAGTACAAGTGGGATAGTATTATGAATTAAAGACTTGCTTTTTTTTTAGGGAGATTCACTACTATACTCAATATAAGAGTCCAAGTTATAAAATAAAATAAAATAAAACTACATAAAATGGACTTAAAAAATACACCAAAAGTCCATTTACAACATAATAAAAAAGCTTTTAACTTCTTTTAAATTACAAAACTACCATTGATTTCTTAAAACATACCTAACCTCAAAACCTCATAAAAAAAAAACCCAAAACACTCAATAGGGCATTAAAGTAATTTAATAATCAAAATTAAATTCAATAAGGCCAGCTGTCATTTTTCAGTTTTTTTTTTTGTTTATTTATAGAAATTAAATGGTGTAGGGTTTATTTATAGGCTTAAATGCAAAAATGATCCCTGTGTTTTACTACATTGGCTAATTTAGTCTCTGTGTTTTTAATTTGGCCAATTCGGTCCTTGTGTTTAGGATCGTTAGCCAATGTTGTCCATTCCATTAAATTTGTTGTTAAATACACATAATAAACATTTTTGTGTCTTTTAAAAACCTATAAAACTTTTTAAAATTAATCTAAAAATATTTAAAATTCATTAAAAGTAAATCATAACATGAGAAAAGATGAAACTTGAAGAAAAAAAATGTTGTCGGGGAGTGGATGGATTGCCCAGCGAATGCAGAGGTGGGAAGGAGAGTGATGAGTTGAGGGGCAAGAACAAGAGGGAGAGAAACAAACGAAACCAGAAACTAATACAAGGAAAACCCCACAGGGCACTACCTACTGAAACATTCGAAAACGTGAAGGTAAGGATTGTTCTTAAGAGAGAGATAGTGAGGTGGATCGGATCGGAGTTGGGGTGGTGGGTTGTTGTTGGGAGAAAGAGAGAAGAGAGAAGGGTGGTGAATTGTGGCTGGGATTGGAGATGGTGGCTGGTGGGTGGGATTGAAGGTGGTGGTGGCGGTTGGGATTAGAGTTGGCGTCTTTCTGTTTTTTATTTTTTTGTTTTAGATTTTTAGTTTTTTTAGTTTTGCTCTTATTTATTTAACTTTAAATTGTATTCAAATAGTTATTTTTTTAAATTAATATTTAAAAGTTTCTAATTTTTTCAACAAAAATTTAACGGAATAGATAACATTGGCTAACGATCCTAAACATAATGACCGAATTAGCCAAATTTAAAACATAAGGACTAAATTGGCCAACGTGATAAAACACAAGGACCATTTTTGCATTTAAGCTTAAAAAGAATTATGTGTATTCAATTCACCATTTTGTCTTAATCTAAACATCTCTCACACTTAATTCGCAATGTATAGAGAGAGCAGTAACGATTCTTTTCTTTTTTTCAAAGTCTGCTCTATTCGCAAGCGCCTGGGATCGAACCCAGGACCTTATTTAACTTTAAATTGTATTCAAATAGTTATTTTTTTAATTTAGTTTTTAAATGTTTTAACAAAAATTGAACGGAATTGACAACATTGGCTAATGATACTAAACACAGGGACTGAATTGACCAAATTGAAAACACATGGACTAAATTGGCCAACATAATAAAACACATGGACCATTTTTGCATTTAAGCCTTATTTATATTATTAATGTTAAGAATGGGTATAAGACTAAATACCTCTTTTATATCTCTTTTCTTTTTTCATTGCAAGCATCAAAGACTTGCTTTCGGGTATACTGATCCTATAATATTTAAAAAAAAATATCACATCCTTTTCTTTCCTCTTTTAATCTTAGCCGTCTGATTTTGTTAAAGTAAATTCAATGGCTGACAATATAAATTCAATGATGCATGGATATGCTCTTGTCTTGTGGAAGACTTCCATGGTCTAATGGTCCTGGAAGCTGAACTATGGGGGCTATCTTTCCGTCGAGGAAATTACTTCCTCTGAAGAAACATATATAAAATGAGATATCAAACCGTTAAACACAGATAACAAGCAGAATACAATTGTTGTTATACAAACTCCATATCCTTACTAACACTGGTAATAAAATCATTTATGGTGAAAGCAACGACGACATAAAAGACAAATGGCAATTTCTATTAATTGGTTCAAGAAATAAACTTGAAGGAGTGATCGCTCGTTTAGCAACCTTTGACGTACGGGTTTCTACATAGGATCGCATGCTTATTGTCTCTGAGAGGAGCGTTGCATGCTGGATACCTTTTTCTGTCACATGGAAAAACCGGGGGAAAATGTAACGTATTCATAGTATAAGAATTCGGTGACGACAGCATTCTGTTGCTAGTTTCGTAATTCGAATTATCCACCGGCATATGCTTCATGATCATATTCATCGGCTCCAACTCCAAGTCATCAACGCCCTCCTCCTCATCCTGTGGAATAATAAGCTGCTGGCAATATTGGTGGGTGCTACCATTAATGCACCAATTAGAGGAGGCCGTGCTGCTGCTGCTCTTGTTCATCAGGCAATGGCTTGTGCTGGGCAGCTGAGACATCATCGCCGTCGCCAGCATAATCACAAACACACCCACGACGACTGATGAACCCATTAATTCGCGGTGAATTGATTAGAGTGTTTTTCTTCTTCCTCTTATTTCTTGTAATGGATCCTCAACACTCTAGGACTATATATCCAATCCAAGAGTGGTACTCTTCTTCTTGGCCTAGCTAGCTGTTGTAATCAATCTACTTATTTGGAAAATGCAAGTTGCCAGCTATACTTTGTATTGATTGTAGGGATAGTACAAAGCCACTTGAAAAGTTAAAAGCGACTAGCGAATATTGCATGTTCTATGGTTTCAGCTCAGCTTAAAGCATATATAGTCTCTTGGCCCCTTCCTCCTTGGATATGTAATAATATCTGTATATGCCAGTACTCTCTACTTGTGCCCTGGTACCTACGTTTTCTCTCTACCTCTGCACTGCACAAACTTGAAACCACTCATTTATTTGGTTGGTCCATCCACATCATGACTCTGCTTGTGCACAACTTAATTCATCACGATCCACATCATGAGTCTGCTTTTGCACATATAATTCATCACCACACAAGTTAATTTAGTTCAACAATCATACACCTTATCACTATCCACATCATGAGTCTGCTTGTACACATATAATTCATCACCACACAAGTTAATTCATCACTATAGCAGCCCTATGGTGACATCACCTCCACCATCACCATCACCACTAACACACATATCTGTCTACCACTCCATTTCAATTATACATTGATTTCCTTGAAAAAGATAAACATTAAATTAATTATGTGTTTAAATCCCATCTTATTTTAGGTGAGTAAAACAAAAAATTTACAAATTCTAGGGATTAGATGCGAAGTCATATTATAGAAAGATGCTGCTTGTTTGATATATGAGTTCGCATCTAATTCCTTAATGTTGTATAGAATTTGTGTTTATATTTGGAAGTTTAATTAATGAATTTACTGAATATAAGAAACAACCAAATTACTTAATTGTAAGTAAGGCATGCACGTAATTGTAATAATATAGTAACTTGGATTGAAGAGGTTCCTTTTGGCTGGAGCCAATTGTACAAGATGATATTGTTATATCGTCTTAATTGTTATCAATGATTTCCTCTTTCACCCCAAAAAAAAAAAAAAAAAAACCAAATTACAAGCACGATGAAAAGAAAAAGGACAAGCTGAGTTGAGATGGTTGGTAACATATATACATATTTTTATTTATTTATTCTCATACTTTTATTTATTTATTCTCATACTAGCAAATACAAATAAATATCATAGTCCAGGCCCTAGCCTGTGATTGTTCTGCCTAAAAATGTTGATCACCAATCATCATCTCCCATCGGAATCGTTGATCCCAGAAAACACTATCCTGGACATCCCTTTAATTGATTCGTTAGTTGTAGAGTTTTGCTCACTACTTGTTTTGGTCAGCCCGCTGTTCAACGTCTCTCCTTCCCAACTACGACTAGTAGTAAACCCTGTAGAATGATTATCATTCATCAACGCAACCTCATCTTCACCCTTGTTTTCAAGGTCTAAATCTTTCTCTCTCTCCTCTCTTTGATGAAGTTGCATTGCATACTCCAGCCCCCACACCACGTCATTCATCGACGGCCGTTCGATCCCATTATCATGCATACAACTTATCGCCATCTCAACAAACTTATTCAAGCACGCGTTTCCAATCTTACCCTTGAGGCTCGGGTCAATGATTTGATCAAGTGTCCCTTTGCGATGACAGCTCTTGACCCACTCGGCTAAACTCATTTGCTTCTTCTCCACGGTTCGTAATAAAGCCGGCCTCGCACATAACACCTCACACAACACCACGCCAAACGAGTACACATCAGACTTCTCAGTCAACTGGTTACGACGGTAGTATTCTGGGTCCAAATACCCGAAACTACCCTTCACCATCGTGCTGATGTGGGTCTTGGACATGGTAATGGTTCCCATTTTTGAAAGCCCAAAATCCGAGACTTTAGCCACCCATTTCTCATCCAACAAGATGTTGGTGCTCTTTACATCACGATGGATGATAGTGTAGTGAGCACCCGTGTGAAGATAGTGCAACCCTCGAGCTGCACCGATACAAATTTGGAGCCGTTGATCCCAAGACAGAGATGGATTATCTGTGTGGTAGAGGTGGTCACAAAGGGTCCCACGTGCCATGTAATCATAGACCAAGATCATCTCACCATCGTCTGTACAGTATCCTACGAGAGACACCAAATGCTGGTGGCGAAGTTGTGAAAGCATTTGGATCTCCGTCTGGAATTCGTGGGCCCCCTGTGATGACTCGGGTTTCAGCCGTTTTATCGCAACGGGGGTGGCCCCATCGTCAAGGTATCCTTTATACACGTTACCAAACCCGCCACGCCCAATAATACAAATTTCGCTGAAGTTTCGGGTGGCGGCTTTAATCTCCGACAAGGAAAAGTAGTGACACAAATCGGACGGTAAGGATGAGCGCCGGCTCTTGGTTGAGTTGGTCGCTTTGCGAGTGGAGAGATCATTGTCATTCAGTTTCTGTCGTCGCCTGAAACCTAAGAATAACCCTAGAACAGAGAGCAGTGCGATTGTGGTGGAAACTACGCCAGCAACAATGGCAAGCAAAGGAGTACTCCTTGACTTAGGTTTTTCTGGGCCTGCCAACGACGTCTTATTTGCTGGGTCCATAGGAGGTGGATCGGGGTTGGGTCCCGCGAGATTCCCGTCTGAGTTGTTGAGTTTGAAGATTTCCAGACCATTCAACATTGCATCGCTGACTTTAGTACGCAAATTTGGGTCTGCCTGCAGTGCAATGGTGAGATTCACTTTCTTCTTGCTTCCAGCGGAGCCTGTACGCTGCATGAACACCAAGTAGTCTCTGTATGTTGGAATCCCTTTCCCATGAGCCCACATGATTATGTCCGCTCTTTGTTCAGCCACTAGATTATTCATGTAAATTAGAAACACTTGATCTCCCATCTGCGAAATTTCACCCTCAAACTCACAAAAATGAAGCCTAACTAGGTAACGAAAATTGAAATCAACAGGAAATTGCCATGTAAGTTTGTAGCTCTTGTTTATGGTTGTGTTTCTGCCCATTGCTCGAGCGGTTTGGTAAACTTCTTTTGGAGCAGAGTACTGTGGTTTTGTGGTAAAATGGAGTTGAATACTAGAATTTTGTGGCAAAACACTATGCTCAAGACTTAACTCATCCAAGTACCTTTGCTCGTCTACTACACTGTCCCAATTGCGGTACATGCCAGTGTAATGGTCGAAAGAGACTGCGCTTCCGCCCACGTTGATTCGGTAAACCGTCTCCAGAATAGTGCTGTTTTCAATGCGAAAGAGGTTGTTTTCACTGCCTACGAGTTGAATCCCATGTGTATCTTCAGGTGCAGTGTAGTAAAGGTTGGTAGGCATGGACACAATTTCAATTCCGTTGATAAACGCATACGCATCTGGGATTGCTCTGCTTGGACTGAACGTGATGTTCAAGCTCTCTTCTTCTTCTTCCTCCCCAATGTTCATACAGAATTCTCTGTATACCGTCTCCTCCCCAGAAGCAGCAGCAGTGACTGACGCATTGAAGTCGTGGAGAAGGGTAAAACCACCGGCTTTGACAGAGAAGAGGGCTTTGGAGGGATCGAAGTCAGGGTATGAAGCTGGGCAGAAATACAGACGGACGAACTTTTGGCCGGGGGTGAGGTTAAAAAATCTGTAGGTAAATTCAGAGTGAGAAAGCCTCGCTGTGGTGTAAGGCACTTGTGGGACGGTGTACGAATGAGGTGCTTTTTTGCATATGGATGTGTTGCCAATTGCTTGGTGTTCAGAGGGTGAAAATTTTGAGTTGATATCTCCAGTCCAATTTCGCTGATCATATGCATTGAGTATGTGGCCGGAATAGCCACAATTGACGGTGATATCTTCGACTGCATTGTAGATAGGTGGAGAATCGCCGGCAACGAATATGGTGACAACGATCATGTGCAGAAACAAGGAAAAGTATAGATGAGTGCTGAGAATTGGTTTCATCATGGTAATTGTATCAAGGTGTTTGTTTGATGCTTGGGTTATTATATACATGTTCATGATACATGTATATATATATACATAGGGAGAGTTAAAGATATGTTATGTGTGGGTGTGTGGATCTCTTATTGGAATTTCTATTGCACAAATGGGGACATACACATAAGATCATCCAAGACTTTTCCAAGTCAAGCTTTTGGCTGCATCTACTCTAAATTCAAGATTCTTGATCAACATCAGTCAATTTAATAGAGACTTTGATAACAACTTAAACTTCGTTTTTGGGTTGGCCGTGGACTTGAAGAATTAACAAGTCTTTGGATTATTGCACAAGATAATAAGGAGAACCAACTAGGGATTGTGAATGTACACGTTGTCTTATTTTCAAGCATGCGCCCATCCAAAACGTGCCTAGTTAGTATTCTTGAGGCATGATCTTGTCTAAATTAATATGTTTGCAAAGTACCAATTAAGCACTTGTATTCGACAAAGAAACATAAAAGCATTTGCATAAGGATCCACAAGGATGGTATTCCCATATATATACTTGGAAATAAATGCACTCATTTCAAACTTTTATTTTTGTTGACCTAAAATCGCAAGCTATGGTTGATAAGAATAAGTTATCCTAATGGTTGATAATTTGAACTCCAAACTAGTGCACTGCAAAATATAATTAATCATATATTTATTCAAAGGACAAAAATCAATATTCTAGTTTAATTAAAATATATATTAATTTTTTTAAAAGCTGAATATCTAACTACCCAAAGAAAATTTAAGTTCAATTCATTTCCAACTATTTAACAAATGCTGATTTTGTTCAAATTGATTTATTTGCCAGAAGCAATTAAATCCCTAGCAGCCATCCGCCCCATTGGCGTGGCAGCCTCCCTTCCCCACTCCAATTCATTACACATGAAGCATGTGTGAGGATATGAAGAATTACCTTATATCGGAAAGTTAAATAAGTTTGTGAGGGCTCATAAGGCGTTGGGTCACTAACCCTCATTATCAATTGGTTCAAAATTCCAACCCCACAACCAATTTGCAATAGTTGGAAGTTGTGGAGTGCAAAAGCACTTTGCTAAAGAGATATCGCACTGCAGACGTACCCAAGTTGGATAGAGCATATGTGCTCCCCACTCTGCACCCGAGTTCGAATTACATTCCTCGTTGTCAATGGCAGAGCCATGAATTGATGTTAGAGGGGGCCCAAAAGAATTCTTTCATAATACTTTCATAATAACATCAAATAAGCCACTTTGGTAAATTATTCAATTGGTCCAAAGAATTTTAAACAGATCAAGTTTGTGTATAACAAACATAATTTCTTTTAATACTTTAAAAGAACATAAAGCCACCAGCCAAAACATTGAATGAGTCAATCAATCCTTGTGTTTGTTAATGTATTAAAAAAAATACAACAATCATCACTTAATTGAATCAAACTCAATAAACAATTTGGCGATGATTTTGTAAACATCTACATTTTCCAATCAGAAAAAACATTGAAAAACAACCTTCAAAAAACTCTTGACCTGTTGGTTAGTACCAGCATGATAATTGTGCAGAACAACAGATTGAAAAATAAAATTTATGCTCTCAATTGAATTGTTTCTTTAAAACAACTAGTTTCCAAGCAGCTGGTTAGACAAAAATAAATAAAAAAATTAATCATGTGATTTCAAGGTTTTAATTGTTAGGCTCTGATACCACATGTAAGCATAACTGAAGTTAAACACAATAAACGCATGAATAAAATCAGAGTTATCGATTGCTTTATACTCAGCGAAGAACATGGCAACTATGGGAATGATCTATCAATAGGTCAAGCACGCTATAGAACTCGTGTATTATGAGAGGAATGACCAATTCTTTTATATTGAACAAACCTTAACACTATCTCTCCTATTATAAATAGAGTAAGAGTTTAAACAAAATTAATATACTTAAGTGATTGATTAGGCCAACTCACATAAGTCATCTTACATAATCATCTCCCATTAATTGTGGCCAGATTATTCTAATTTCATTAAAAATGTTGTTGCTCATCAATCATCTCCCATCCGGATTGTTGATCTCAGAGAAGATTGTCTCATAAATCAATTTAATGGATTCGTCGGTCGCAACCTCATCCTTGTCTCAGAAATCAATTTAATGGATATCGCACTGCAGACGTACCCAAGTTGGATAGAGCATATGTGCTCACTTTTACCAGACCCTTCCTTGTCTTTGATGAAGGCAACCTCATCTTCACAAATATTGGTTTCAACAATATTGAAGTCCATATCGTTGTCAGCACTCCGTTGAAGCTTCAAAGCAAATTCAAGCTCCCTCACAACGTCAGTCATCGACTGCCGTTCAATCCCATTATCATGTTGATGCCCAATGATGATCGCTATCAATTCTAACATTTGTCATGTTGATGCTCTGTTTTTATCAGTTAACACTTATGGGCACATTATGGTTCATTTGGCCACTGAAAATGGAGGATTGAGAAGACAAGATTACGCATATTCTAACTTAGATTATTTTACTTGTTAATAACCACGCTCAC